TTTACATGAACATATACACGAATGTATTGAGTTTGGAGCTGCAGATAAAAAAAGAAGAAAAGAAGTTATTAAAGTTAGAACCATTCGTCATCTTCGAGAGAATCTTAATTCAAAATATAATGAATACCTTTCACGTACCACTCTCAACAATTACTTGCTACCATCTCGATCAAATACTAAAGCAGCAAAGACACATCACCATCCAGCTCTTGTTGCAAATGCCTCAGTTTCACGAACTGAAAAAAATGAGCATATTGATGAACACTATTGTCTTGCATCTGTGAAAGGTGCAAAACAATTCGCGGCATTATTTTCAACCCATTCCGTAATCATTTCTCAGGACGATAAAGCCAAGGTTCCTCTAGGTATTCCTGCAGTCGGAAGAACGTTTCAAACTATACAAAGTTTTCAAGAGCCAGTTACATTACCCGATCATGATTTTCCGGTCGGTATGCAGCAAAAACTTATCCCATCGGTTTACTTACTAATTAATCTGAGTGATACGAATGATACTTTCTGCAACGGTCAACTTTCAATTTTTGTACGTCCACAATATCATGTTGGTACAAGCTCAAGTACCCATATGAGTGATCTTAACTCGCTAATTCAAGATAGCCAATTTGATAGGATATTAAAAATCAACGGCCAAATCAAACCTATTTGGATACTTTTAGTTGATGGAGGTCCAGATGAAAATCCCCGCCATATGAAGAATATATTTCAATATTGTAAAATGTTCTGTAATTTTGATCTTGACTATCTATCCGTTCGGACACATGCACCTGGACAATCAGCATATAATCCTGTTGAGCGTAGTATGTCAACACTCTCTCAAAAACTGGCTGGCATAACACTACCGATTGATAAATTAGGTTCCCACCTTAACTCCCAAGGTCAAGTAACGGATTTGGAGCTAGCAATGAAGAACTTTCGTTATGCTGGTGAAGCGTTGTGTACTCTTTGGAAACGCGATCCTATTTTTGGGAAACCAGTTATTGCGCAATATACTGACCAAAAAATTCTCCATTCGATGATATCCTATTTCCTGGATCTGAAAATATAAATGAATCAGCTGTACCTTGGCAATGGATAGAAAATCACACCAAAATATGTCAATACTCACTTGATATTAAGAAATGCGAGGATTCTTCCTGTTGTTCACCTAAACGTCATGAGGAGGCAGCCGTTCTTCTTGCAGAAAATGATGGATTTCTCCCACCTGTAACAAAGAGAAAAGATGGGCATTTCCTAAACCAGCTTCATATATTAGAATATTGTGACAAGCTCAAAATACCTGGAAATGATGCCCACTGTCCTTCAATTAATGCAGACACTTATGAACGTCTTTGCTGTTTTGAATGTGATGCGTATTTTCCAACGCTTTCTATGGTTGCTCAACATAAAAAAATTCAACATCCAAAACGACGAGGACGACCAGCCAAAAAAAAACTATTTACTAATTCCATTGACGATTTTTCAGTTATACCTGCGTGTGATGTACGAGTTTTAATTATAAATGACCGGGAAATACAATCAGAAGGTGAATAAAGAGGTGTGCTGACTTTAAATTTTAAAATTAGACCAGGTAAAAGTTTTTAGAAGAGGAATATTTTGTTTTATTATATAAGAACACTTGTTAACGTTCTTATTTGCTTTTTTTTTTGTAGGTACGGGTTTTAACATTGGAATTAAGCCGGGTAGGACTGTAGGAGGAAGACTAATAAAATTAAATGTTTCGTAGTTATTTTTTTTGAAAATAAACTAAAAGAGGTGGTGCGACACGACTTAAAACAAAGAACAAAGATGTGTATGTAATACGTTACACTGTTATAATAAAACAAAAAACATTAATAAATCACATGAAAAGAATTTTATTGGCAAATTATTGTTTTTAATTTTCGCTAGAGTTACGAACCAGAAAACTAATTCTGGCCACTATAAATAAATATCACGTGACAGGTGAGATATTTGCGAACCCCCTCCCCCCTTTAATAATTACGTGATATGTGTCACTCCCCTTATTAAAAAGTAAGTATATTTTAATAAAATATAAAGTAAAATAAAAATTTATATAGTCTTAGTAGTTATAAATGTTTATAAAAGTATAATAAAAATATCATATAAAAGAAGGTATTATAATAGATATTTTCAAACAATAAAAATAATTATTTTATGTCAGAGTTTGTATTACCATCTTTAAACGCAAATATATCAAGATTCACTGATCCGTTTTCTATAATTTTAGGCTTGTTGAAAAGCCCTTATTCTGGACTTTATAGGCGAAAAAAAGCTCATCAATTGAATCATTAGATCCAGAGATATTTACGTTTAAAGTTGAGGTATAAACTTTTTAACATGCTTAAATGCAAATATCTTGGGATCCACTGATCCATTTTTTATAAATTTAGGCTCTTTGGATTGGAAAGCCCTTGATCTGATCTATATAAACAAAAAAAGAGCTTGCCAATTGGATCATTGGATCTGGAGATATTTACGTTTAAAGTTAAGATACAAATTTTTAACATATATAGTAAGTGCTAAGAATTATATTAATTTAAAAGAAATATTTACCAATTTAAAGTATAATAACATTAAATAAAAGTTTTTTAATACTCACCCCCAATTTACTGTATATTATATAGTATTTTGTATAATAAAAATGTAATAAAATCAATATTTTAATTAAAGGTAGACAAATCAACCCATATGTAATATTTTATTTTGATATTATATCGATATTAAATTGATATTGAATCAATATCAAAATGATATCAAAATGATATTGTTTACGTATGGGCTGATTTGACGCATTACATGTGATAATTTCATAGTAAATGGGAATTGGTTACTATTGGTATGATGCATCAAATCGGCCCATATGAAAAACTTGAAGTTTTTGTAAAAAATGTGAACAAGTTTTATCAGATTGTTAGTAATCAATCAGCTAATCAATTATACTTTAAATCCAAAATATAGTATTATGTGATATTAGCTAAATCATATATTCATTATTTTTTCAATTTGCTAACAATTCAACAAACTGGAAATTCTTAGCATAAAAATTTGCCAAGCATCCTATATATTATAAAATCAGCTGCATTTTACTATTAGATTTAATTTTCTTTAATTTTAATATTATTAGCTTTTTAAATTAAAGTATTTTTTGTATAGTAAGTCCATATAAAATAGTAAAATTCAGAATCAATTTTTCACATAATTACAATTTAAGCTAATCAGGTAAATTTAATTTAATAAATCATGTATTAATCAATAGAAATATTACCTAATAAGGCTAAACTATTACTTAATTTGGTAAAAATTAGTATAAAATAAATTTTAGATTATTAATAAATATAAATACATTACATCATATCGCTAAATATCACCACTGTTATTATTTTACCAGAATTGAATAGAATTTTATTAGATAAAATTAAAATAATATGAAATTCTACCTATTAATATTTAATAATACTAATACAATAAAAATTATTTGCAATGAAATTTAGCAATACCCTTTTTAAAAATATATAAATACATAAATAATTACATTATGCTTAAATAATTATAATAGGACTCCAAACAATATATATAAATGTAGGTTTTGAGTTTGCTTAACCAATAAAAATTTTTCCTATGTGAAATTTATTATTGCTTATTTGATAACATAATTTTAAAATAGTCAGATATAATTAGGGAGTTTACACATATTACGTAATTATTATAGGGAGGGAGGGAGTAGTTAAAATTTTACGTTACACTTATTTAAATCATATGATTTATAAATATTATAATTTGATTGGTTATGAAATCTAACAAGGGGGGGTAAGGTTTATAATAAAATAAATATTACGTGATATGTGTAATTTCCCTTATACATAGCAGAGTATTAAATTATTAATAGTCAGATATATATTTACGTAGCAGGATAGATTTTTTAATATATATATAATATAATATATATTTTATATTTTTCATATTAAAAAAATCTAATAAAATATGTAAACAAAATTATAAATATGTTTGTATAAAAAAAATTTACTATTTTTAATACAAAGATTAAGTTAATTGTTATACAGAATGATCTTACCACACTACTTTCAAATGCAGATCATTTTGATTGGCAATCTGAATTTCCTTTTATGTTATACTTTCTGAATACTATTTTTAGATATTGAACAATATAAACAATTATACTGAAAAAAAACATTGATAAAAAAAAAAACTCTAAAAAAAAAAAGAAATAATGTATTTACCGCACCCTGCATTACAAATTTATATATATTTTATGTTTATAATTTGCCATTTTAAGGGGGTGTGGTGTATAAACTAAAGATGTTAGCCTTAATTATTTTTTAAAAAATTTTGAATTACGGCTATAAGATTTTTATAGCCTTAATTAATTACGGCATATAAAAATTTTGTATTACGACACTTTTTTGAATTACGGCTAACATCTTTAGTATAAACTAAAGATCAATATAAACAATTTACAAAAAAGGAAGGATGCATTGTAACGCAGGGTGCAGTAAATAAATTCACTCAAAAAAAAATAATAATAATAATAATTTTTATTAAACTCAGAAAGTTTCATATTACAATTTTTTAAAAAAACTGCACTTTTTATTAACAAAAACAATACAAGATTTTGATGAAGGCTTAGTATATACAACTATTATTAAAATGTTTTGTTAGAATCTTTACGCTGTTGTTTTTTAGAAGGTGAAATTGAACATAAACCACTGGTATTTTCTATTTTCCTTTTATTTCTAGTTCCATTTTTTTTTTTAAACATTAAAAGCAATATTCTTTAATTTAATTAACTTTTCGCAATTGCTTAGTTGGTTTAATAATATAGTTATTTCTTCAGCTATATTCTCTGTATCAGAATCAACCTCAGTTGGTTTATTATATATAAGTCTATTCATGTTTTTTTCAACTATAGTTAAGTCATTCAAATCAGTAAGAAGATTTGATATTGAAGTAATATATTCTTGCTTCTAAATAGATATTGAATGTTTTGTATTTAAATTAAGAGGAGTAAGAGAAGTAGTTTCAGTTGATAAATGTGTAGTTTCAATAGAAGTAGTTATTTTGTCTCTGTTATTAGAAGTTATATTATCTATAAATTGATACTTTTAATTAATGAAATAAATGATTAATTAAAGCTCTAACTGGTCCAGGTCTAATCTAGTAATTCAGACCGAAAATTAGGATTGGTCCAGTCTGGGTTAATGCTTCAATCCAGACCAAAATATTTGGTCTAGTCCAGTCTGATCCAGGATTATAAATCTAACACAGACTGAATTGAACAGGTTGGGATTGGACCAGACCAAAAATTTGCCAAAATTATAACTATATTCTAATTCTATAATTCTGGCTTTATAGTGATTTTCCTGATATGTGTAGTTTCATTTTAATTCCTTATATAGTATATACATTACATAAAGCGAATATAAGCTTAAATCGAAACTACATATATCAGGTAGATCGCTACAAAGCCAGAATTATGGAATTAGAATACAGTTATAATTTGGTAAAAATTTTAAATTTGGTCACGTGATATTATAACAGCCAATCAGAATTTCAGATTTTTTATTATAGGACCAAACTGGACTGAATTAAATAACTGATCTGGTCCGGTCTAGTCCTGGATTATCTTTTTAACATAATTCAGATTGGACCGAAATAAAGCAATTTTTTGGTCTGGTCCTGAGTTACTCCTCAACTCAGACCAATCCAGACCATTTAGAGCTTTATGATTAATAAATTTATAAATTATAATAAATAATAATTAAAACTAATTCACCTTCTAATGTATTATTATCATCTTTATGTACATCTTGTAATTCTTGTTCAAATAATAGTAATTCTTTTATTTGATCTTTATCTTTATTTAAAAGTCCAAGGGCTTCTTTTTGTGATGAAAGTGTAATCAATAGTACAGTTAGCCCTTGATATAATGAAGTAGGCATCCAGGCTGATTAGCTCTTCGTTATAAAAAAATTTGCTAATGCTATAACGAATTATTCAGTATAGCGGAAAAATTTGGTATAATGCGGTAAAATATAGAAAAATCAAATACATTTGTAAAATGTCAGATCACAGAGGCAAAGAAATTTTAAAGCATAAATCATCCATCTTTTGATAAATGAACTAAAATGGTAAAATTGCTTATTTGAGAAAAATTTCATGAAAACAACATCAAATTATTTATTATATTAAAAATTATCTTGCAAAAATCTTTGTTATATGGTGCCGGAAGTCTATACTCGACAATAAAAATGTAACACTTAAAAATCTTTCAACTCCTTAAAAAAAATACAATTTAAAAAAAATAAACTGGTAATTTTATTCTTTGAAGTAAGCTCTATCAAATTACCGGTCACATTTTTAAAAGAAGATTTATGTAAAAAGTTATAAGCATTTGAAATTGCATGATTTTCGTATGATCAGCCCAAATTTGAAACAAAATATGTTGGCCAGAACTTACGATAATTTGGGCCGATTCCATGCATTGTGATAATGCCAGCCTGAATTATCATAATATGAATCAAATGTAATTTTTTTAAAAAAAAAATTTTTTTATCAATATATAACTTTTATGAAATGGTAGTTGCAATTTACTACTGAAATCTACTTTTTCTTATATTTTATCTTGTTTGTAATAAAAAAATTTTCAAAAACCGCATTTTATTAGTATTTTACACAAGAAATTCTGGTTTTTTATTGGCTGAATTCTGGATCACATGATATAGAATCGGCTCAGAAAATTGAAACAGAATCACGTGATTGTCGAGTATAGACTTCTGGCACCATACTAAAAAAAAATCGGTTTAAAAGAAATTCGTTATAAAAAAGGTCATTTACATATGTGAAATCATAAATTTTTCTTCGTTCAATATTATAATGCATTTTATTAGTAAAATTTGGTGTAACAATTTTTTTTCATATGACTAAATGCATATCACACTAAAGATTCGTTATATTGTGAAATTCGTTATATTAAAATTTGCTATGACTGTATTTGGTTATGCTGTAAATTAAGATAATATATATTTTGAAAAGGCTGTGATCTAAGCCAATTAATCCATATTGTAGCAGTACAAATATATTTGCAAGCACCACCCCTAGATAAAAAATCAAAATATTGACAATAAATACTAGGTAATAAAAATATTATGTAAATTTGCTGTTCAATCTGATTTGATCCACTTGATTTAATCTATAATGATAATGAATCTTTTGAATATTCAACATTAATTATTTTTTTTTCTTTTATAATAATTTGAGCTTTTTTATTACGTAATTTGTCTGGTATAAAATAAGCTATTTGTTTAAATACTCATAAATTTTGATCAGATTTTCTTGATTTGGAAGTGTAATGGGTAAATCTTGTATCTAACATTATATCTAATCTTTTTTTAAGATCTATACATAATAAAAGATTTGGCGTAATACATTTGATAAGTAATATACTTAAAATATCCAGTTTCAGTAAGTTCACTCCATTTTTAACTGAAATCTATCTAACTGATGAGTTTTTAACTGATTATTAAAAGCTTCAAGATGATTATTAGTAATTAAAATAGAATCAACAGTTATATTTAAAATATTTGCAGCAATTAATCTACCTATATCGGCTAACTATCAAAATTGGGCCTAATTTTATATAGTAATTTTGATCAATGTTATACAGTTACAATTAGTAAAAAAAAAATTCTCATGATCAAATTTAGCGAACGCACCTTTAAAAAAAAACAACATATTAAAAAACGCATCTAACCAATGAGCGCAGTCTAAACCCGATGAGTTTGAGTAGTGAAAGACCAGTAGAAGGCAATTGGCATCTCGCAATTTCAAATGTTACATGTTATTAGTTGTAAATAAAATTAGTTTTTGCAAAACTATTTTTTATTTTTATTAAAATATTATATATTTTTTCAGATTCAATTACTAATATGTCAACACTTACAACGTCTTTTACTACTTCTGCATCAGAATTTATCTGTCCTACTTGTCAAAAAAGATATAAGAAATAAGGTGGACTTTTACAGCATCTGAGTATTGTGAAAAGATATAATATTTCACATAGTGATTTGGATAAATTACCAGAAACAAATAATGAAAAATTCAAAAGTATTCTGGTTTATTTAATTCACCGCAAACTTCCACATGGATTTAAAAAGGGAAGTCATCAATTAGTGTCGCTTGCATGTACTAAACATCAGTTTTTTGATATTTTCAAAGGGTATATCCATCATCATAGCAATAGAAATGTCTACAAGTGTATTTTTTGAGAATCTGCTGGATATCAAATATTAAGTGAAATCTTGAATAATCCATTGTGGGGTCAAAAATTTTATGATGAAGAACAACAAACTTATGTTATTTTATTTAATGATCCACCTGAGCATTTGAAAAATAATCCACTGGCTATTGCAACTCATTGTGCTACTGAAAGTATAGCCACTCATAGACGCAAATCTAGATATAATCCTGGAGAAGTTATTATTGAATGGAAAATTAAAGGTGAAAAAGATGCAAAAGAGAATTATTGTGAAGCAGGATTTATATACAGTACATACATTTTTGGGTGAGACAAATCTAAAATTTTATTGTAATAGAAAAAAAATTATATACATATGTTTAGAATTTTTTCTTCTAATTAAAGACAATTTTTTTAATGTATATAAAATGTATTAAAAGAAATTATAAAATGTGAATATATTGAGGTTTTGGATAGGAAAGAGAGATGTTATTTTGAGTATAAAATAAAAGTCAGTTTTCATATTCCAAAATTTCACAAATTGCTAATGTTTTATTTTGAAATTTTCCGCCATTCTTGAGAGTTTTCTTAAAAAAATAACAGACATGATCGTGATTCTTTTTTTCAACAGCACTACACGAAAAGGTGTTTAATCCCCACCTTTTATGGATAAGCATAAATTCCCAAACATGTGATACTAAAACATGTATATAAGGGGTTATATCTGATGATTGATAAAGTCCTTGTTCTAAAATAGTATTAGTTTTGAAATCTATTACCGTTTTTTTCAAAAATAATTCACACCATACTTTTGCTTTTAAACGAAAATATTGTGGATCTGTTTTTTTTTCTCCTAAAAGATCATATAATTCAGCAAATCCATCCCACAAACTTTTAATTAATGCAGTTCGTTCTGGATCAAAAAGTTTTGTCAAATTAAGTTTTGAAGAACACAAAGCTTATCATCACCCATTAAGAAAGTGTAATTCTAATTATTAGTACCATGAATATTCCAAAACTCAAACCTGATTTTTAAATTTTCCATCTCCTTAATTATAATATTCCGAGTTATGTCATTAAATAATCTCTTATTTTTGATTTCTTGTAAAACTAACTCCCATAAATGGTCAGTAATACATAACATTATATGAAGTTTATCTGGAACATGATTTTTAAGTGAAATCATATTGAAAAGTGGAGGTAATTTATGACCAGGGTATGCTGTTAGATTTTTATTTAAACTACTCATTGATTTACTAATTATCCAGTCATTTTGCCCATTTCCACGTTAATTTTTTGTTATTTCGCAAAAATTATTGGAATTTGCAGCATTAAAACCTAAACAAGTAGCGAGAAATTTCCAATCTGAGCTAAAAAAAACTCAAAATTCCAAAGAGTATTATTGATAACTATTCCTACATTACTCAGTTCTTGCAATTCCTGAGTAAAAGCATTTGCTGCAANAACATGATTTTTAAGTGAAATCATATTGAAAAGTGGAGGTAATTTATGACCAGGGTATGCTGTTAGATTTTTATTTAAACTACTCATTGATTTACAAAATTCCAAAGAGTATTATTGATAACTATTCCTACATTACTCAGTTCTTGCAATTCCTGAGTAAAAGCATTTGCTGCAACTTTTAGAGTTGGATAATTTTCACTTTCTGGAAATAAAATAATTGTATAATGGTAATTGGGCTTACAAATGTTTATTGAATCATCCAATAGTGTTACGGTAATCATCACATGCTTCACTTTTCATCCTACGTTTTGCCCATCACCAGATATTCGAAGATGAATAGTTGGTATTGCAGGATCTAATATTCCTTTTCAATATATGATGGTATTATATATTCAAGAATTTTTTTAACACTTCGATAAGCACTTTTTTCAGCTGCATTAATAACTTGTTCAATAATTAATGGATCAGTTATATCAGGTTCTTCTGAAGGTCCTTCTTGCACAATAGTAGAATTTAAATCAATGAAATCAATGGGTATTAATTCTTCTATATATGCATTAATCTCTTGACGGGTTTGAGAAATAGCATATTCTTGTGGTAATATTGATTCTACAGCTGCAAGATGATGATATGCATCACGAGGTATATTCTCTATGTCTTGTACATATGCAATTGATTGCAATTTTTGTTTTTTTTTAACATAATTCTCATTACCAAATGTTACATGGTATTCTTTATTTTCTACAGTAAAATTTATAGCCTTTAAAACTATATGATCTTTGGGATTGTAAAAATCATTAATTGTATTTTCAAAGTGCACCTGTTCTTTTTTTGCAAGACCTTTTGCACGTTTAATTTATGTAGTTTTGCTTGATTCTTTATGAAGTTTCAATTCACGTGATCTACCTTTGCGATTTTTATTAATGCATTTTAATTGAAGTCCAAAAAGATGAACTCCAGAAACAGCAGTTCTTCTATCCAGTGTTATAATCTAATAAAGCATATATATATTAGAATACCTTCTTTTATGATTTTTTTTAAAATTTTCTAAATAATAAACATATAATAACTTACTTTGTATAGTTCAACAGAAGTATCAAATGGTGATTGAGCTGAAAAAACTTGATATTGTAAATTATCTTCAAAACAAATTAAGTAATGAGGTTTTTCTTCTATATAATAAATAGAACATTGAATAGTACAGCTGTTATTAGCCCGACCTCAGGTAGTTTTAATAGTATAATTATCAGGTATAGAAAAATAATTAGGTGCTTCAGTATAATTCACAGCCGGTGGGTAGATACCTTCTTGAATGACAACATAAACAAATTTTCGGTCACCATAGTATATTATTTCAGGTGAAATAGGGTAATTTTCTTCTTCATAAGATCTTTGCTAATTAGAAAGGACCCCGGATATCTAATATAAAGGTCATAATGGACTTTTGGCCAAAAACACCCCTTTTTGCTGAAACTCAAAAAATCGTTTTTTGTAAATATCTCAGCATCCAGTAATTCAATTTTAATGAACTTTTTTTTATTTTGTAGCCCTCATTTAGCTCTACAATTTAAAAAAAAGTTCATCAAAATTGGACCACTGGATGCCGAGATATTTACAAAAAACGATTTTTTGAGCCCTGAAAAATGGGCCAATCTGCCGAAAGTGTGACTTATGACCTGTTTTGGAGATATCCGGGGTCCTAATTAGAATTTGACATTTAGAAAGTAACAGTTTTTTGATACGTTAAAAAAAATTAACATGATATAAAAAATTGTATAACAGATCTACAAAAATGTGATAAGTACTATGGTAATTAAAATTCAGTACGAGTCTTAATATCATATTTCTTTACTGCTATAAGAGAAAAATCGAAACAAAATATGTAAAAAATTTTTGCATCATTAGTGTTACCATAATGTCAGGTGATTTGACTATCATTATGATTGGTTTATAGAATTTGGGGTTATCTCAAAAATTTAGGGTTAGGGTATAGATTAGCGCATATGCATAATATATCCAGCCAAGTTCTATATTACCAATTCAATGTTCTTTAAAATACTTAATAAATTCCAAAGCACCATTAATAATAGATATAATTTTAGAATTTGCATTATTATAGTATTGTTGTAAAGTGTTCTATTAAATAAATAAATAAATCATTATTATATATATAAAAAAAAAAATTAATTTTAAAAAATATATTCATACCAACAAGTACTGCTTCATATAAGAAAGAATATTAATTATTTCATTATGATTTTGTGCAATTTTAATTTTAAGAGCAATTAATTAAATTATAATATAATTAGAAATTATAAAGTTGAATTTTCATTAATTACTAATTGCTAAATCTGTGATCCAAAAGTATATAGTATATACCTTTTAATATTATTATTTAAATATTCTTTCATGTCTTTTCAATAAGAAACAATATCATAACCACATAACTACCATGACTACCTAAAACTTGTTTCATTTTATTTTCCCAGCATTGAATAATATGAAATTCATATAATAAAAAGTGAATATCAGAATATGTGGCCAAACTTCCAGTAATGCTAATCTTCAGTTTCTTTATGATCAGTATTAGTTATAGCTACCTAATTAATATAAATTTAATTAATATCACAAATAAACAACAAAAAAATACAGCAAATAATACTTACTTTTGGAAGAAAGTCATGATTATTTTCAATAGATATTTTGTCTTTATATTGCTTTAATAATTCTTTTAAAATTGCATGATTATAAGAACTACTGATTCCACTAGCTGTAGAAAATAACAAATATCCTATCAGAATTCTTTTATTATCTTGATTTACTACTAAAAGTACAAATAATAAAACTTTTTTATTAGAAAATCCAAAAGTTCCATTAAAGTGTATAATGCCATTATGACCATATCTCCAAATAGGGTTCCGATCGGTTCGGTTCGGTACAGTTTTTACCAAAACTGAAACCAAACTGACCAATAATTACCGAAAACCGAACTGATTTACCAATTCATTATCAGTTCAGTTTTTAACATTTTCGCAACATTTTTTATTAAAAAAACGTGCAAAAACGTTTTTTTTAATTAAATTAACTAATAAAAAACATTTCGCAACGTTTTCTATTAAGTTATTGAAAAAAAACGTTGTGAAATGTTTTTTTTAATTAAATTAACAAATAAAAATGTTTCGCAACGTTTTTATTAAATTATCAAAAAAAACGGTGTGAAACATTTTTTTTTAATTAATTAATTAATAAAAAACGTTTCGCAACGTTTTCTATTAAGTTATTGAAAAAAATGTTGCAAAACGTTTTTTTTTAAATAAATTAACAAATAAAAATGTTTCGCAATGTTTTTATTAAATCATTAAAAAAATGTTGCGAAATGTTTTTTTTTTAAATTAATTAACTAATAAAAAACATTTTGCAACGTTTTCTATTAAGTTATTGAAAAAAATGTTGCGAAACGTTTTCTATTAAGTTATTGAAAAAAATGTTGCAAAATGTTTTTTTTTTAATCAAATTAACAAATAAAAATGTTTCGCAACGTTTTTATTAAATTATCAAAAAAACGTTGCAAAACGTTTTTTTTAATTAATTAACTAATAAAAAATGTTTCGCAACGTTTTCTATTAAGTTATTGAAAAAAAACGTTGTGAAACATTTTTTTTAAATAAATTAACAAATAAAAATGTTTCGCAACATTTTTATTAAATTATTAAAAAAAAATGTTGCAAAATGTTTTTTTTTAATTAATTAACTAATAAAAAACGTTTTGCAACATTTTTTATTAAATTATTGAAAAAAAACGTTGTGAAATGTTTTTTTTAAATAAATTGACAAATAAAAACGTTTCACAACGTTTTTATTAAATTATCAAAAAAAACGTTGCAAAACATTTTTTTTAAAATAAATTAACAAATAAAAACGGTTCGCAACATTTTTATTAAATTATCAAAAAAAAATGTTGCGAAACGTTGAGATCCCCCTATTCCCTCTGTTATCAATTTACAGAGTTGCCACGTCGAATAGCATTCTCATAGTCGAACGAACGAATAAACGAACGAATGAACAATTAAACAGACGAACAAGCAAATAATCAATAACATAATTAACGAACAACAAAATCAACAAACAACATATGACAACATATAACAACAATATACAACATCATTCTTGGTTCACAACATAAATAGCGTTAGTAATATAAAGCATTGAGCGACATAAAATTAAATTTAACTTCTCTAAATTTTCCCCAAATTTTATCTACTTTTACCTTTAATTTCAAACTTCGATAACTCTCACTACGAATTATTACTTTTCAAAAGTGTATATTTAATTCATCTTAAAATTTTCATTTTATTCAATTAAAATTAATTAAGCAAACATTAATTAAAGTTTAGGGTGAACCTATTACCTTTAATTAATATTAAACTTCATTATCAAATAATTAAATGAAACTTATATTTTTATTGAGTTATTCTAAACTAACTAACTAACTGTGGAATTCGCTTTGAATTCTGCTCTCTATTTAAACAAATTTTATAATACTTTCTATTCTAATATGTGCTATCTATATACTATCTTTTATGTTCTTTTTACATATTATTAGAGCTCCGAAACCTGACCCGACAGATCAGGTGACCCGATGGGTTAACCTGAAATATTCAGGTCAGGTCATCAAATTCATGACCTGACACGAGTCGGGTCAGTGCTGGTCGATACCTGACATGACCTATTGATCCGACATATATTTGGGTCAAATAAATTAAATAATGCTGAAACTTATAATGA